CCCCCTGCCCGGGCTGAGCCCCCGGCCCCTGCCCGGCCTGCCCCACCGCCCTGCCCGGGCTGAGCCCCCGGCCCCTGCCCGGGCTGAGCCCCCGGCCCCTGCCCGGCCTGCCCTCACCGCCCTGCCCGGGCTGAGCCCCCGGCCCTGCCCTGGCAGAGCACCCGGCCCCTGCCCGGCCTGCCCTCACCGCCCTGCCCGGGCTGGCACCCCCGGCCCTGCCCTGGCTGAGCACCCGGCCCCTGCCCGAGCTGCCCCCCGCCTCGGCCCTGCCCCGGCTGCTGCCCTCGGCCCTGTCCCGGCTGCCTCCCCCTGCCCTGCCCAGGTTGCTGCCCCCGGCTGTGCGGGAGCAGCGGGAGGTGCCACCCAGGGAAGGGCATGTGCGAATGCCAGGGTCTGGGCCCCGCAGGGGGAAGGCGGCTGCTCTGAACATGAACATGGTCGTGGAGCATCTGCCCTGTKAGGAGAGGCTGAGGGAGCAGGGCCTGTGCAGCCTGCAGGAGAGAAGGCTGAGGGGCACTGAGCAGAGTGTGTAAATGCTGCAGGGGTGGGAGAGAGGAGGAGGGGACTGAACTGAACTGAAGCACCAAAAGTTTCCCAGGAACTGAAGGAAAAAAAATCTTAGCAATGAGTATGACAGCCCTGGCACAGGCTGCCCAGAGAGGCTGGAGAGTCTCTTCTCCAGAGACCTTCCAAACCCTCTTGGACGCAGCCCTGTGCCACCTGCTCTAGATGACCCTGCCTGTGCAGTGGGCTGGACTGGCTGATCTCTAGAGGTCCCTTCCAGCCTTAAGGATTCTGTGGTTCTGTGATTCCGGTTCCCACATGGGGTCTGCTGCAGCCGCAGGGTCTCAGCAGGAGCTGTCCCAGTGCAGGGGTGGGTGCCCTGGCAGCGCCTTGGGGCGCAGCACGTGTCACCGCGCTGAGCTCGCCCTCGTCCAGCGCTTCCTGCGTCCATCCCAGCGGTGCTGCGGAGCCCCAGGAAGCTCCCCGGCGGCGCCTGTCCTTGCAGAGTATGTAAAGGGGTGCCACCAAGGACCCACCTCCCTAAAACGGGAGCAGGCTGCAGGCCCAAGGCACCCGAGGGACCAGGGACCTGCCTGGGGACAAAGCCACCGGTTGCTGCTTCAGCAGGAGCACCGACCCGAGCGTTCACCTGCGTAAAGGCGGGATGTGGAACAGCAGGAGCCGGTGCTGAACAGCCCTCGGCCGGGGGTGCTGGGGAAGGGGAGGACGGCAGCTCCGTGCTGCGGTGCCTGGGGACGCGGTGGCTTTGGGGGCAGGGGGCGGCTGGGCCAGGCCAGCTCTGCCAGCGGCCGC